TGTCATTTACACTTGTATCCTGGCTCGTGATACACGTGTAAATTCCAGTGTGGAAAATACTTTTATTGAATCCTTGTATTTACAAACCGGACTTTACACGTGCAAATTACACTTGTAAAAACTACAAGTGTAATTTCTTTATTGAATTGACCCCTGACGTCGTGTTACACCCTTACCTCCCCATAATGGTCATCACTCTACAACAGCCACTTTCCCTTGTCCCCTGGGTGGCCATTGTGTACACTGTATCTCCTGTACCTTTTGCAGTAATTTACTGTGAAGAATTCTATGCAGTAGTTTACAGTTATTGCTGGGTTTATAGCTAAATATCTACATCTGCAATGTATTTTTTAGACGGCGCTCCGAATTGAAGATGGCGACGAAGAATTCCCGGCATTTGGAACCTCTCCATCGATAAGGTATAAAACAACTTGTGCACTACATTTTAACCTCGAATACAGACACCAAAGGAGTAGATCTGAGTGTCCCTATTATGGAGGTGTGTGTATTGTAGAGCAAGAGATTATTTGTGTACTGGTTTTTGCTGGGACTAAGTTAACTGTCTGTAATATAGAGAAGTCTATATTATAGAGGTGTCAGTAAGGAGAGGTTTGAGTATACATTGAAAATCAAACCACAATTTTTCATTTATTTCTATGATCTAGTGATATCATTTGCCAGAATAAATTTCTGTTTTCTTTCCTCTTTAGACAACGAAAAAGAACAACATCTCATGCCACAGGTAAGGTTTGTTGAGTACAATATACTTAGTTGTCATTTTTCAACTGGTATTTAACAAGCGTCAAGTATTATAGAGCGACTTTTCTGTTTTCACCTCTTCAAATATGTTTTCTCCTTACATACTATCGTTGCTTTATTTCTATATTGTCTCTGAGAGTTTGGTGTTAGATCGCGACAAAACCATCTTAGTACGTACTTGGTTTATTGATTTCCTTCACTTGTTAGCTTGCGAGCACAGACGGATTGTGTGTTTGTTCGTTGGCTAATCTCCTTTCTGGATATTGCTTTGTTGATACTGATAAAAGAAACTGCACTTTGATCAAAACTGCAACAGGAGTTTCAGATGTTATCAACAAAAACTCCGTTATGACAAGTGTAACAAAACAGCCCGTGAGTCTAAACTACTTTGTGTTGGACATGGTAGGTGACAGAAGACGCAGTCGGAGACACAACTCTGTCAGCCAAATTGATGTGTCATCCGTCACAAAGGGTAGCCTCTTGGCACCTCCAGGGGCAAAACTCAGAGAGGGCTCTATACACAAAGTCGCTAGTGCACCTAATGTAGGAACAGCTGTGAAAGTGGAGCCTCCAGCCTCGCCTGTCAAAACATCTGCTAGTACAACGCCATCATCATCAACAGAGTCTGAACTGGACGAGAAAACCAGAAATCGGCTGGCGAGAAAGTATGTTTGGCATCATAAGGACATATTAGATGTAGTAATTAATGCACTTTAAGGAAATGAGACATTTGTGATCACCACTCCGAGAATTGATTGAGCATGCAGTTTTGGTTGACAGCAGTGAGCCAGTTTGCCAGTGAAAATCTGGAAATGGGCTATTTCTTTGAAAGGTACAGAGACCATCTCAGAGGGTTGTCTACTGGGCTTTGTAGAAGGAGATGGAAATAAAAATTAGTGCAAGTGTCCACTTTTCAGATGTGTTCACTAAGGCCCAGGCCAAACGTTGAACTTCACATGAGATAACTAAATCACAATTTGAGTCGATCGAAACGGTAAAGTTCGACCGTTGAGTCAAACGTCAAACTTAATTCCGATTTAGAAGCAGACGGATAGAACGTTGTGGTGGATCTAAATTTAGTCGGACGAACACAGTAGCGTCCAACGTCGAACTTATCATCAACTTAATTCGCTCAGTTTAGTTCGTCTCGTATGAAGTTTCTAGTTTTACCCGGGCCGAAAAACACGTTATTGACAATGTATGTTATGTAGTACAGTGAAACTGAGTGAAGAACGTTTACTTAAAGAAATGAAAAAAAAAACACTCCGAAATTTATTTGTACAGACTTCTGTTTGTAATAACGAGGTATAGTTTTGTGGTGTACGTTGTCAGTATTGCAGATACTGTTTTGAAGAAAACAAGTAGATGTTACCGAGTCTCTGCCAGCTGTCCGTAGCAGGGAGGTGTCTGTATTCTATTGTAGAGGTGTTTTTACGGATACTTTATTCAAAGTTAGACAGTGATGTAATTCCTTCAGATGTTACCTCACTTTATGTGATTCATGTTTTGTTCAGGGAGCGCCGTGCAGCCAGACGAGCTGCTCTTGGTATAGCCGAGCCAGAGCAGGAAGAACCTCCAGCCCCCACTAGAACCGAGAGAAGCAGGCAAAGAGCTGACAGTAAAAACAACTCGATTGACAGGAGTAACTTAGAAGTGTCTTCACCTACTAACGGCAGACAACGATCACCTCGCTCATCCCCACGCCCCTCCCCCAGGAGTTCACCCACCCTACCCCGGAGGAGATTCAAGTTTGACGAGCCACAAGCCGAGGGTGAGATTTCAACTTAGATTGTTTCGTTTTATTGGATCTTTGTATTTTACAATGTCAACAAAAGACTGTCTTTGTGTATGTGCTCAAACTAGACTGGTAGCGATCAGGGAAAGAACATTGTTTTTAAAAAGGAAAACAGTGAGTGAGTTTTGTTAGCCCAAGGGAGTTAGTGAGTTTTGAACCATGATACGTGACACGTTCTGCAATCGGAAAACGTGTTTGAGTTGGCAGGTATAACAATAAATTTTGTTCATAACACGACTGTTAGGAGAGTTTCTCTGAATTTCGCACTTTGTTTTTGTGCATTGATAACTATTTTTTTCAATATTTCCAGAGCAAACCAGCCACAAGTCAAGAGGAAATAGAGAAGAAAAATCGCGAGCACATGAAGATTCTGGGAGACAACCAAAAGCTGAGGCGTCTAGTAAAAAAACTGATACTCCAGAGCAAAGGGAAGAAAAATCTACACCACGCAGGAAAGACATGAATGTTTCAGCTGTGATTAGGAAAAAAACTGCAGAGGTAAAGAGGGCAGATAGTGAACCCTTAGTCAATAATGTTGATCACAATGGATCTTCAGATCAGAGAACTAGTGACGAGAGTGAAGACACTGACGATAAACTTGGCTCCAGTAATGATGATTTAAACAACGACAACGCCAAAAATGAACGAATTTCAGAGGATCATATTAAGGTTCCTAGTCCGTCAGACAGACGGGCTGGCTCGAGTAGCCCTGCCAATGACGCCCGTCGATCGAGTGTCGCAGAGCCTGAAAAGCGCTCCAGTATTTGCGAAGGTTTTCCAGGCTTCCCGAACAAGAAAATGATGTTGTCTATGTTATACGGACAACAGAGGTCCACAGACGACATGGATCGGAAAGGTTTGGAGGGAAATGTACCTTTAGGGGGTGATTCTGTTCATGAAAGAAAACAGCAGTTGCTGTCGGGAGGAGACAATGATGAAGGCACTCAGAGGCAAAATGATATGCTGGCAGTTGATAATTTAGTTTCTGAGGCTGTGAAAAGATTGAGTGGGTGTATTGAAGTCGACGAGGAGAACGAAACACCGTCTTCTGTACCTGAAGGTGAATTTGAAGGCTTGCTAGAGAAGGCGAAATCCAGTCTTATGAAGCAACCGTCAGTGGAGGTACCCGACCCTGCTGCTGAGGAAGAGGCTAGAAAACAGGAGGAGCTTCGGAAGAAGCAAGAGGAGGAACGAAAACGACAAGAGGAGGAAGCAGCTAGGAAGGCGGCGGAGGAAGCCGCCCTTCAAAAAGAACTCGAATGGGAGAAAATGATCATACTTAAACGCAAACTTATTGTGAAAGACTTTAATTTCACTGAATTAGAAGACGATGAAGATGAACTTCTTGATTCCAGATCATCTGCTGCAGATGAAACAGATGCACATCCTCATGGGGGCGTGCCCATGTTTGGAATCCCAGTACCCCCTCCCCCCTTTCCTGGGGGGCCTCCACCTCCTCCTCCACCCCCTGGTGGTCCTCCTGGTGGTGTTCCCCCTCCCCCTCCCCCGGGACCGCCAAAGGCGCCTTCGTTGAATGACGCTAATCCAAAGAAAAAGCTGGTGCGGTTGTTCTGGCAAGAGGTTAAGAACTCGCCTCTTATAAATGGTGTGAACAAGACAATTTGGGGAAGTATTGATTCTGTTGACATTGACACTAAGAAACTGGAGCACTTGTTTGAGAACAAAACCACAGCAAAAATTAAGGTAACGCAACTATTTTTAGTGGTTTTCTGATTACAGATTGGTTGCGTTTTGTGCATATGATTGGTGTGAAAATCCTTAACTTTTTTTGTCGGCATGATATTCAAATCTTGAAAATCAATTTGATATCTTAACCCAACCCAACCTATAGTTGGCTTTGTTGCTAGCGCATATTCTTACTTTTTTTCAGGAGTTGGTTATCCTTAAACAATGTTTAGTTCGAATCTAAACTAACGCTAATAGTAGAGTTTCACTGCTTAAACGTGGCTTTTTTCCATAGTCTCAAAACATTTGAAGTTGAATAACTCTTGAGAATGCGGACCTTTATCTAAGACAGTTATTTTAAATGAATGACACATAATTAAGAATCTTAACTAGCTGGAGGCATATCGGTTAGCTATTTGCAAAGCGTGAACTACTAATTATCCTACACTGTAATAGGAAAAAAGATTGCTTGAATGGTGAATTTCAGCTAATAGACATCCTTATCTTTTAAATTAAACCCAGATATTGAATTCATAAAAAAGGCCTTATTTCCTAGTTGGGAAACTGGGACTGATGATTGCATACATTTTATTTCACGGTTCATTCGCTTGTTCGATTGCAGAAGTGTGAAGGCGAAGACAAAGACAAGAAAAAGGAAATAGTTGTTCTGGAAATGAAGCGATCTCAAGCCATCAACATTGGTTTGACCAAGCTACCTCCCATCAGAGCTTTGAAGCAGGCTATTTTAGGAATGGACAGCGCTGTCATTGACAGAGAAGGAATTGATGTAAGTGTACATAGTCTCTTTCGGGTTGTTCTGTTGCGTGGCGAACAAAATTGGACGGAAGTGTTGTGTGTCAACCACAGCGTGACAAATTTTTAATCTGGTTAATTAATTAAGTAATCCTTATTAATCCTTATGCGATATAAGGCGAGATTGCTGTCATCATTTTGTTAGCGAACGGGACTTTGAGCGCGAAGCCCAACGAGTTTGCCAAGCAGAAAGGTCTCTGATGAGTCCCTTGGCCGGGACTAAACGAGCTGAGCAAGACTAGCCACGAACAATTTATTATCACAAGTAACTTTCAACTTTATTGTTAATTCATAAAGGCTTTAAAAAATCATACCTACGTTCTGAAGATAACGCTTGTCTAGAGTGTAAACTTGTCGTTTGTTCAACTTCAACCAAACCCACTCAAACGTCATTTTGCACCTCTCTTCCATGTGACCGACAACATTCGTTCCCAGTAGGCTTTCCTGTTTTGCAAATGGCATATAAATCTGTAGATGAATATAAAAAACGCTTGACGTTTCAAACCACGTGATCTAACATTTGCATGGTGGAGCGCTGGGGGCTTTAAAGCATGCATGTGATGCATGAAACAGTAGCTCAGAAGCCAGATTCGTTTTATTTAACTATTTTTTGCCGTTCTTGTAGAAATTGCTGCAGTTGCAGCCAACACCAGAAGAGAAGACCAAGATACAGGAAGCGCAAATGTCAAACCCTGACGTGCCTCTTGGAACAGCCGAGCAGTTTCTACTCACAATGTCATCCATTAACGAGCTGGCCCCTCGGCTTCATCTGTGGTCCTTTAAACTTGACTATGATCAGCTGGAAAGGGTGAGACACTCGGCAGTCGTGACATCTGTACTTTGATCTGTGTAATGTGTAAAACAACTTATAATGCAAAGGCGTGAAAGTAAAGCAAGGATCTTTTATCAAAATCTTGGGTGGGAGCATCCTCCGAACCCGCGATTCTGTTCTGAGTAACGTTCTCAAGTATCATGTTTCCCTATGACGTCGTGCTGTTGTATCTGCCTTCGAAGGATTCGCTAGTGCTAGTGCTAGTTTTTGATTGATTAATGAAACTCGGAAACCTTCCGAATGCTTCTACGAAATGTTTGCCGGAATCTTCGTCTCTGATCGTGCGTGAATGTTAATTAGAAGTAGAGTTTTAAGTGTGTTTCACGGTTTTAAGATCTGCTCGTCACATTCCTAACTCACTAACTTTGCTTCATTCACAGGAGGTAGCAGAACCCTTGATGGACTTAAAGGAATCAGTCCAAGAACTTCACAATAACGAAACGTTTAAGCACATCTTAGCTACACTGCTTGCCATAGGAAACTTTTTAAATGGGAAAAAGGTTTGTGGAGACGAGCTTGTAGCTGTTAGTTGGTAAATGACGTGAGGTTGAACTATCATTGATCGATAATAACTGAAGAAGGCTTAGTTAACTGGTGTTTGTGTATCGTTAAGTTATGAATCACCCTCTGATAGTATTTTTTAATGGCTGTTCATTATTTTTTGATGGGGAGAACACGAACATTCTTGTTTTTGTTGTAGGTAAAGGGATTTCAACTAGATTACCTGGCTAAAGTACCGGAAGTGAAAGACACTGTCCATAAGCAGTCGTTATTGTATCACTTGTGTTGTATGGTGATGGAGAAGTTTCCCAACTCGTCGGATTTTTACAGTGATTTGGGCGCCCTACATCGCTGCTCCAGGGTACGTGATAGAACAAATTCAAGCTCTTGAGCAAACCTGATCCATCGATCATTTGATTGGTGATGGCTGGCCAAGAAAACTAAAATAAGAAAAAAAAACCCTCCACGGGGCGATGAAAAATGCCAGTAAAATTCCCGCTAGTCTTGTTCCTCAAATAACGGCACTGAAAGGGATTTTTTATCCCATTACAGCATCTGTTATTTTTGGTCCTAATTTCTTCAATGAGAATGAATTGTTCATTTTGTCCTGCCCAGCCATGCTTGTTCCGTTCCTATCCAAAGATTGTCTCCAAAATAACGAATAAGCCCGTATACCACAATATGTTTCTTGTTTGTGTTCCTGTTTTGCGGTAAAATTCAGAGGAACAGTTCAGTGGAATAATCAATTGCTTCTTTAAAAAATCGCCAACAGTGGGCTCAATTGGAAATACTTGTTCTCAGTCTCATGCTTTGTTATTTCATTTTGTTTTCACCTCCAGGTGGACTTTGATGTCGTGCTTGACAATTTGAAGAAGTTGCGTGAAAACTGCAAGAAGTCTTGGGAATATTTAAGTATTGTAGCCAAACATGATAGCACCAAACAACTGAAAAGCAAGTAAGTTCAAACCTCCTCCACAAAATATGACCCTCGCTATACGGACATAGCTGTAGTGCTGAATGGCAAGTCACTGTTCTGAGAGAGTCCCGAGACAGAGAGGGATGGAGAGACTTCCTTAAGGGGTGAAAGGGTTTAAGTCAGTCTGTTTTAGAACTGGAGGGAGCTTAGGCTTTTGTATCGCTCCTCATCTCACGAGTAAAGCAATCAAACGAACAGAAAAATTTGGTTATTATTTTTAAAGATAATCATAGTGAATGATAAGAAAGTAGCAAAGAAACGTCCATTGGGTTTATCATCTTATATTCAAGTGAACGTTTCGTATCGAGTTAACTAATGTGACTGCTGTTCTTTTGCCAGGATGAGCGAGTTTTTAGCAGACGCACAGGAGCGAAGCACTATCCTGAAAGTTGTACACAGACGAGTCATTAACAGGCAAGCTGTCTTTCGTATGTACGGTCCTCGCAAAAACCACCGAAAAGACGGAAAGAATTACACTGCATGAAAATCCGACACAACATATTGACGAAAAAGACAAAAAATAACGTCAAAGCTCTATGAAAAGTCATTTTTAGTGGGCCTCCCGTTTTGGGGGACAGGGGGCAAGGGGGGAGGGGGAGGGGACTGCGCCATANGACGAAAAAGACAAAAAATAACGTCAAAGCTCTATGAAAAGTCATTTTTAGTGGGCCTCCTGTTTTGGGGGACAGGGGGCAAGGGGGGAGGGGGAGGGGACTGCGCCATATCGACAGGAATTTTGCGTTAAAAAAATCTTTGGGTATATTTCCAAGGGGTATAGCCAAGAATGCCGTGTGGCAAGACTCAACTTGATGATATTCCAGAGGACAAAGCAAGTTCTACAGTCACTGATTGCCTACCAAAAGTATACTTCAACTGTGGAAACAGGAAGTTTAGCACTGGAAGAAGTTCTGTTTTCTTTTACAAACAACAGGCATCTACAGCAGGCTAATTTTTGCTGGTGGGAGGGGGTGGTGGGGTACTTTGTATCAGAATTTTAAGGTCGGCATACACGAGGGGACAAGTCCCTGCGACTAGTTCCTGCAAAAAGTCGCGGGGACAACCCTTTTGTTTGAACTAGCCATTTTTGTTAAAAACTCCAGTCGCAGGGAGCAAATTTAGGTCCCTGCGAATTCATACTGGTTTGAATTGAAGGGACAAGTCGCAAGGAGTAATCCTGGGGACTTGTCTCCTCGCTGTGTGGCGACCTTTATGGTAAATTTGAAAGAAGATGAAGATATGTGTTGTTAGTATTGTAAGAAAGAAAACAGCTTTGAGATGTAGTACTGTCTGTTCTGTCTTTTAGATTCCACAAGATGTTGTTGTATTTAGGTCTGAGTTCAAGTGTAGCGAAGAACACAAAGGTAACATTCCACATATTTTTGCCAAACACTTGTAGTAAACAAATACAAAAGTTGATTCAATGTTGTGGAAAATGATACCTGCCGGAAGGCGCAACGTGAAAACGGAAGCATCTTTGTTAACCTCTGGTCTCCATTTCCAAATTACCGCTTCTGTACATAAATGGCTTAATTTATACTAGAGATGAATTATCCGACCCCGAATTTACATTAGGAGACGATTTTATCCATCTGAGATGATTTATCCGCCTCAGGCAGACAGATAATTCGTCCTTAGTATAAATTCGGCCAATATCGGATGTAAAACGTTACAGCATATCAAGACACTATCCCCTTGTTCATGATGGTGTATATTGTCATGACCTGTTAGATGGAATTGTGTTAACACTGGAAGATGAAATTAGATGTTGACGTTAATTACTTTGAATGAAGCAAGGTGTTAGTTTGTAAAGACATTGTTGGGCTGCGATTAATTTGAAGTTGATTAAGGTGACTGAAGTTTTTCTCTGACGAACCCCCTAACGTTCGTGACGTCATCTTCACAACCTCGCTGGGGCGGTTAACTTCAAGTTGACAAATAGCTAAGTATTAACTAATTTCTCGACCTTTTTTACACCAGGTCAACGAGTTCTGTAAGATTATCAGCGAGTTTTCATTGGAATACCGAACCACACGAGAACGAGTGATTCAAATGAAGAAAAAGCGAGAGAACTTGAGGGAACGAAGCAAGACGAGAGGAAAGCTGATCACAGAAACGGAGGTCAGAACTTACTGAAAGTCAATCCAATAAAACATACCTGGCGTAGCTTCCTTGCTGATCATATGCTCTACATTAATACCCATGTCTGCTCTGTACATCTGCACATTTGTGGGAACTTTTTCCCGTCAAATCTCGCGTATTTCAAGAGTGTTGACAGTTTAGATATTGGTGCCCTCAGACTATTACATGTTACTTGCCTAGGCCATTCCCATAAAATATTTGTCAGGTTTTCCATCGCTCGACAAACCCTTTTTTTTTTTCCGAAAAGTGAAAAAAAAAAATCACAAACGTTTATGATTCAGGGCTTGACCACACTAATGCATTCTTAACAGTCCGCTTCCGTCTCAACGGAAAACAAAGCAAAATATTTTCGACCACACTTGCGTTTTCGGTTTGTTTTTATCTGTCCACACTAATACGTTTTCGTATGAAAACGCATACTCGTTGAACATTTTCACCTTTCGCCCACACTAAAACGGCCGAAAACGCTGATGGAAATAACAATATACGCTTTTTCTTCACTGTTTTTAAAAGCCTCCGTTTTCACCTATCCACACTAGAAACGATGCGTTTTCAAACGACTCCACTTTTGAAACCGTTTTCGAAAGACTCCGTTTTTATCAGCGGTTTCGGTCGTTTCAGTGCGGACCATAGGCGAAAACGTATCAATAAGTATACGTTTTCATACGACAACGGATTATTGCGAACAGAGCCTTACGTCATGCACCGCTGTCTTTTTCTTTTTTTTTTTTGGTCAATATTTCATTTTTGGGGAGTACTTTTCTGAACCAACCTGCTAGGTCCTCAGTCGGGTTTTCAATGTCCCACTATCTTCGTGCTGTATTTTGAAGAGACTTGTTGATTTGTGTGACTAAAGCCGGAGGTGAGCGTGACCTCAGGGGGGCATTATCACACCCTTGTAACGCTTTCTCTTGTTTAGCTCAGGTTGCTAGACGATCTAATAGATCGTCTGTAGATTCTATGGATTGTCAATATGAAATTTTACGATAATTGCAGAAATTCTTGCGCCCTCATTGGCTAATTTTTATTGTCAATAAGCGGGCAGACACATGAATTTATACTTTATGCGATGCGTCAACGAGCGAGAGCGGACAAGTTGACAATTTGTTATCGTGAAAAACAAATTGATGTCAGTTTTTAATGCGTCTGTCCTGTTATTGACAATCAATTTCATCATAACATTGTCAAAGTAGTCTGCGGATGTCATGACGAAATTCATGATCAATAACAGGACAGACGCATGAAAAACTGACGTCAATTTGTTAAGTATAACGTAGCATTCTCTTTCTCTCATGCCCAGTCCTACTCGGCAGCAGCCAAGGTGTCCGCAGAGGAAAACATCGAGGCGTTCCGCAAAGCTCTGATATCCAATGGAGACGAGGCGGAGAATGCGAGAGAGAAGCTGAAGAGCGCCACACTACCAGGAACACGGAACAGAGTGAAGAGCGCTGGAACATCACGCACTAACTCAGGAATACAAACACTTGATGAATTCCAGGATGACACCACAGATGAAGTTATCAACACATTGGCAAAGTCAGCCACTGTACCGGACTCAAGAACACGACAGGGCCGGAAACGACCCAGAGCATCCAATAGGAAATCAGGTAAGTAAGGGTTAGACGGGAGGGGTGGCAGGGGTCTAGTATCTTTGCGTTACGTAGCGTTCTTGTTGAGGTTTAGAAGGGTGAGTGGATGTCAAATTTGTAAAGGTGTCAGATAAGGGCTAAAAATGACAAAACAGCATTTGTGCAGCTCACTTGTATTAAAGTAACAAAACCAGGAGTATTTTTTACTTGTGGAAGACGTTAGTGCGGGAAATGAATTTTCTTTAGACGGGAAAGGAGAAAGATGGTTTTTGTCTTAAAAGTGGCAGGCAAGGGTTGGGTCTAGGTTTCGCACGTTAAGTGATCAATGTCTATGTTCTCCTTGCAACTTCAGTGCACTTACAACCAGACAAGATAGGAGAATATGGAAATTGAATTCACCAACTAGAGATAGTCGTTTAGCTGTACCACTCAATTCTTTGAAGTAGAATGCAACGGAATTTAGTCCAGATAGAAAGAATAGGCTGCAGTGGAAGAGCCGGTGATCCTATACCAATTAAAAGCCTTTTGATGATTTCACTTATTGTTTTGTTTTTGTTGCAGCTCGAAGGACGCTAAAGAGCGGCATTAGCCCTGAGGATATGGAAAAACTCACCAAACAGTATTTGGACAATATCGATAGCAAATGACGCTAGTCAACTTAACTTAATATACAGAATTTATCCGTAATTATATTTTATACAAAGAAATAGTTTTATGTGATATTTTATTGCAAAACAGTCTGTTGTGAACAGGGACTTTTGTGGGGTTGTTTTATAGTGAAAGTGAAGGGCAAAATTTGGATGTCTGTACATAAATTGTAATTTTAAGGACCTTTGTATAGTTAACTTTCCTCGCGGCTTTTGATAAGAAGAAATAGTGGCACATGTTGCGATTGCCGCTGAATTTTGTACTTTATGAAAATAGTAGAGATAGAAGATTTTTTTTTCCTCCTGTAATATATTTTTGTCTCGTCTGGCAAGTTAGGTAAACCGTGAAACAGCTTAAAATTTCTTAGTTCTCCGAATACGAAACAAACAAGGTTTTCATTGAAAGTCAGGTTTAGCTAACTGTTCGTGCTCATGCGCAGTAGTGTATGAAGTCTATTAGCAATTGGTGTTTAATCTGAGTGTAACTTTGATTCAGATTTTTGTCCGTTGTAAACTGTGTTCGCTATGATGCAGATGCAATGAATTTTGTAAAGAATAGTAAATGTAAAGCTTTGTTTTCTTCCGTTTTACCTGAAGGAACTTCAAAAACAAGTCTGTAATTGATTTCGTTTTTTCATGCGAGCCTCGGTCCGTTTTCTGTTTTATTTTCTCAAGCCTCGCTATCGGGCCTACAAGCTGTTGACGGTTTGAAATTGAATTAGTGACGTATTCACATGCTGTAGCGAACAAGGTTTATAACGATCTACATGCCCGAGGTAGACATAGTAGACACTCTAATTTGTTTAAATGAAGGATGTTATGGTGAATCTTCTTCTGAACATTTACACTTCCTAGAAAACGGACGACGAGGATTATAAAAATCAACCAGCAGCGATTGTTAAATTCTTAAAAGTAACATCAGTGCCGAGATCATTAACATTTTGAACGCTAAAAGGTTGAGCGCGAAAATAATTTGTTCCAGGCAAAAAGCTATAATTCGAAGTGGTCCGAAGACTCTCCGATGTCGTCCGAAGATTACCCGAAACCTACTTCAGTGCCAGTTGTTTCAATTTATCAGCCAGTACTGATATATGGCTGGTTTTCCGCAATCTTCTTTTGTTACCTTAAGTATTATCTCAATATCAGTTTACAAGCAGGTCTTGTAACTGATCTATTTGCTAAGTGTGATAGTGAATTATCACGCTGCCACATAATGTGAAGAACAACGCCATTTTCGTGTTGATGTGTTTGCTTCTATTTCAAAACGAGTCCTGATTAACACCATTCTGTTGAAAATGAACTTGACTTGCACATTCACTTCCTTCTGCAAACCAAACCACTTTTCAAACGAAAATGTTCTCAGCAGGAATTCTTATAGAAACAGAAACAAAAGCAGCTGGAAAATGGATGATTCATGCTTCACGTTTGGAGAATTACTTGGTAGATAGAAAATTATGGGTACATGAAGTACGTAATAAGTCATGAACTTTGTAATGATGAGGGATGCTGGGTTGTTTTATAATGATAACGATCGATTCTTTATCAGGTTTTATAGATAATAACGTCAGCTACTATTCTATAGCCAGTTGATTGGCTGATTAAATAATCTTGTTTCCTCTTGACATTCTCTTTGGGTGTTCTTTAATAAAGAGCAGAAGTTTGAAGCAGTTTTCTCCTGGTTTTCTTATTTATTATAATTTCACTGGAACCCTGGTGAATTGTCAAAGATGATCAAAATCGCCAAGTAGTTAACTGAATTTCTTGGCGAGAAAGCTGGCACTGACCATGGGACATTCTCGACCCCAAGACCCCCTGTGCCTCATGGCTGTGGAGACTTGGTTGGCTAGATTCTTGGATTCTAAGATAACCACTGAAAAGCTGAACCATTAAAAGATCTAGAAAGTACAACACTGTTAACGAGGAGAATCTTCAGCGAGAATGTATGGCTACCCCCAGTTTTATTTTTGGAATCCAAAATCCCTTACCTAGATCTTATTTTCTATATAGTTCTATGTTGGAAAAAAATACCTGTGTAGTTAGTACCAAAACTTTGCTGTAACTCCGCAGCTTCCGTGCATGCACTAGGTGGCGTGAGGATGAAACGTCCGCTCAGAATGTTACTTCTGTTTAACTTCTTTTAAAGCTGTTGAGCCTGTAGGCACTGTGATTAAACAGTTCTGGTGAAAAATCAACCAGAGGATGTTTTTGGGAATGAAATCTGCATTGAACCAGTTTATAAATCAAATCATGTCTGTCCAAAGCCACCTTTGCCAGAGAAGATAAATACCGCGTCACTTTACAGCCCTGGCCAGTATATCCGACATAACACATTATGATGAAAAAATGTCCTGGCTTTTCGCTGACTTTGTTACTCCCCAACCTTTTCTCTCACGCAAGTGTTGCCTTTCAAAAGTTAGCATGCGCACGTGACAACAATAATAGGCTTATTTTTGAACCCTAATACCTGTGGGAAACTTGTTTTCTTCTTGACTTTGCCTCTTGTGATTATTTTGGATGAAAAACCAATTCAGCCCTCCTGGGTAATAAGAAAATTTCTTTCCCAACATTGGTACATTGAGCAGCAGCAGTCTCAGGTGCTTAAAGACAGACTTCTTGATGAAGTGTCAAAATGGTCCACAAAATTGTGTACAATTCCTGTTATAGATGGAAATATTTACCCTGTTGAGATTAAAATTCCTTCAGAAAGGTTGAAGAACTAACAAATCTCATCAAGAATCTGAGGGTCTTGCACGAGTTCTTCCAGGTTCGGAAAGGATCGAAAAACTGGAATTTTACCCTTCAATGTAAGGCCAACTTAAAAGCAACTTCTAAGCCACAGGGCCATCGACACGCCACCTAATGCATGCCCGGAAGCTAAGGAATTACCGCAAAGTTTTGCTACTAACTACACTATAGGACTATATAGGACTATATGGAAAAAGACGATCTGGGGGTAATTTGGGAGTAGCCAAATATTCAGAGATAAGCCTTGAATCTCGAACAAAAATGCCGATGTCAGAGGGTAAAAAGGTTTTTTTTTTCATTTCACTCGTCCATCGGACGGGTACTTTCCAGATATTGGTAGTCCAGTGTCAGCATTTCTTCGTGAAAGAAAAAAATATTTCTTTCCATATTTTCTTAGAATTCCACTTAACATACACAAATGTGAGAAACACCGATCTTTAAAATACATAACAAATGGTGACAAAATCGTCGCAACAGCGCTTTCACCGTCCCTGGCAGCCCGCCTCTGGTTTAGCAAACATACAGTGAACAGCTTTGGTGCACAACCAGAAACTAATCAAGTGCTGGATAGGCTTGCCACTTCCATTTCATATGTTAAAAAGTAGGGGCAACCAAGCGTTTTTAAAAGTTAAATTAGTTACAGTAGAACTCCGGTAACTCGAACTCTGAAGGGAAACGCAAAACAGTTCGAGTTAGCGGGGTCGATTCAATATCCAACTTGCCATGTTAATAATTGATAGTTTACTGATTTTTCAGCACTTCAGTATACAGTAACAGCTAAAGGCACCGCATCCAGTATGACTCATAACATCGCGAAATGACTGCCAAATATGTGAACGGTCGGTTGCACTAATGAAAATCAAATTGCTGTGGTGTTAGTTTTGAGTGTTTTCAACGATTACACGACAAGAAAAGCTAATGGGATGACATCCCTGGTGAGTTACATGAACAAGAATTCGAGTTATCGGCGTAAATTTTTATCAAGGGAAACGAAATTTAGTTCGAGTTAGCGGGGAATTCGAGTTATCCGAGTTCGAGTTAACCGAGTTAAAATGACTGAAAAGTGGGGTCAAATCCAAGGGGGATGGGACTTGGGTCGAGTTAGCGGGGGAGTTCGAGTTCTCCGAGTTCGAGTTACCGGGGCTCTACTGTAGTTATAACTTTTCACCGACTTTGACGAGAATTTCGCTGGCCATGAAAAGAGTTTGTTTTTCCCGACCTTTTCACAGACCGTGGCACTATTGAAGAATGAGTTCCGCACTCTGATTCACGAATTTCAGTGACCTACAGATACATCGTGCGCTCTTGCGTCTGAACAGGTTTGTCGATTGACACTGATTTAGCGACCATATTTTAACGTTTGTAAACGCTGAAGCTTACCAACAGGCTAGTTGCTACCCAACACATTTTCACCATTTAATAAAGCCGGGTTTGACTTCTTTCCCTCAACTATTGCTATTTTAAATCGTCCTGAGAAGGGCTCACATCGCGTTATACTTAGTCACGAAATCTTTAGTACCGGTTTATCACGCTCAGTCTCAGCTACGTTCAGTAACAACGTAACTTTCGAGTATCATTCCTGAAATTGTCACTATACCATACATGACAGGCACAAGCGCACGTCTATTTCACTCCTTCATACTTATGTGCCCAGAAATGCACGCAATAACGAATTTGGCAGATTTGCGAAATTTCGACAGCCTGGGTGAATGTTCATGGATTTAATGATTTCGGCGAAATTTTGCCAAAATCAGCTTGGCGAATTTGACGATTTTGCCGACTTTTCGCCAGCCAGAATTGTGCAAATTATCTCGTCAGATACGGTCCTAACACGGTGGCGAATTTGGCAAATTTGGCCATTTTGACGAAATTGCCTAAATTTTCGTCAGTATATGTTTCCCTCGTTTGGATTAGATGTTGACTGAGCCCCATGCGAAAGGGAAAGCAGTATGTCTTACTAGTGTCCACTTAATACAGGGTGTCCGCTGAGAACAGGTTACCTCAGATTCGTCTTAAAACGGTCATATCAATATTGGTCAGTATTAAAAGACGTTGACTGAAAGAGACAAATAGCATTCTCGTGAACTATCGATAACTCTGAAATACCTTACTTCCATAAACAATTACAAGTACATGAGGTAGAGTGATTTAAGTATACAGTAACAGTATCTATATTGATCGAATCATGTCAAGGTTCACAAAAACAAACAAGCACAAAAGTCCTGTAAAAATAAAACCGAATAACAAAACATTGTATTTCTGTAACAGCTGAGTTTGTTGGCAAACTTGAATGACCGATCTACTAAAACGTGGACAAAAAAAATCATGCATTCTTCTTGCAGTGTCCGTTTGATACAGGTTTCTAACAAAAGAAATAACAATAAAAGTCAAGTTTAAGGTGTCCGCGTCCGCTTAATAGAGGTGTCCGTTGAATCCAGGTATTTTTTACAGTGAATGTGCGAAAAGAAAAATGGGACTTGCACTGCTGTCCGCTTAATAGCGGGTGTCCGCTTTATATGGGGTTCGCTTAATACAGGTTTGACTGTAATTTTGCAAAAAAGGCGTAGTGAAATTTTGTCAAACTTGCCACTTTCGCCAAATCCGTCGTTTTTGTCATCTTTCCGGGACCCTTCTAGCTAAGAAAAGTCTATTCACCAATACAATTTTGTCAACAGGCTTGGCAAAGGTTTGACAAATTTGCCGCTTCCGCTAAATTAGTCGTCTTCGCCACATTCGTCAACTTTGTGGGGCCCTTCTAACTAACTACTATATAATCACTCGAAGAATTTTGTCAACTGGCTTTGCGAAATTTCGTTAAATTTGCCATATTTGATAAAATTACCAAACTTTCTCAAATTTCGTCAGATCTTTCAATTTCGTCCACAAAATGTCGTCGAGTCTGCCGTTTTCATCACTGCATACATTTCTGGACATATCTCCTCTTTCATGCACTCTCTCTCCATCTTGTCAGTTTACTCCTGAGCAAGCTTATCACAAAACAGATGTGGTACATCTACAATATTTTATTTAAGTTTTTATTGAGCAATACCATGCTATTCAGCCATCATTTTGATGATCCGCTACATAACTACAATTGCCAATTTAGGAAAATCTATGGTCACGTAAGCATGGCGTCACAAGTATACATCAGTCACGTTGCTAAGCAGCCTCGATGACGAGAAAAGCGGGCTCAGTAAGTCTCATATACGGCCATCGACCGAGAAAGACATTGTTTTAAATCTGTGGACTAATTTCTTCTCTATACACCATCAAAGAAACTGTTTTTTTATAATTGTCACGATTACAAGTTTGAGAAACGAGTCTACTTCCTGATTACAAAAAAGAAAATCAGATGCAAAATTACCGTCAATAAACATTGACGACCCACTGAATAGGTAGGATTGATGTAGCTACACCAACTAAAATAACTAGTACAAAATCGTAGTGAATATTTACACCTCCCCTATAATTTATTATAGCTTACTACAACTGCAAAACATTTTTTTAATTCACTACTCTGTTTTGCAGTTTCACTACTGTTAGATTCCCATTCACAGTGCCTTTGTAACCAGGAAAATTCCTTTACACATGCGTAGCACTCCCATGGGTGAAACTAAGCTCTGGTGCACATCAAAACTACTATAAATTGTAACTTACAGTTTGACATAAAGCTACCGATCATCTATAAACTGAAGTCACAGTCTGTGTGCGCTACCTCAATCGATTCCTACAATGAATAGCCGGACCTCAGAATATCAACTAGCTGACGTAGAAATGGCCGCTATAACACTCAACTTTTACCAGGAAAAAGGCTAACAAAGTGACTCACAATGGCCACACATCAACAGTAAGACCTTCCGGCTGAGCCTGTTTGCATGACCGTGATATGACGCAGTTCATTCATAGACGAATCAAAACGTCACTTCACCCCTTGTCTCTTTTTGTATTAAAATATATCTCCGTTAGCGCAGGAGCAATGTAACGACCAAAATAGACTAAACATTTCTCTCCCCTGTCTCCACCACACACACACAACTTGTACACCAAAACTATCCCCTAATATACTCACACACCATAAACATCGGCAAATGTTTGGTATAATTATGAGTCAAAACGGCTTTACCCTTTGTTTGGCACAACTAAACTAACGAGAGGAATTATTCTTGGATCACTAGGAAAAATTGAACCAATGAACTATGTAAAGGCAGCAGTTTACAATATACCTTACACCTGCTACTTTTTTCAGATTTGTCAGAAGCCACCACGTTCATCTCTACACAACAGTCTCAGTCTTGGTCAATGGGTTGTGGCAGGCTGTGCACACCGCTGCTGTCTCTTCATTGTGTAGAGTACAATTCCTGCATACTCTGCTCCCAGGTTTTGCGCTTTCAACAACGCCAATTCCACGAGTTGCGCCACAGACGACACATATTCTGTGTTCTGGATGATTCAAATAGGTGCATCGGGAACACGGCCAATCTTTTTCTCCATCCCCAGAGGCTTCATTTCTATTGGCAGACTCTTGGCTGGAATAGGCTTTGGAATCACCCGGTGTTTTGATGTCCTTAAACTTTAAAAACGCGTGCTGCTCTTTGGTTGCTTCGCAAAGATCGGTGACATAGATTTCCATACACTCTATGCAAACAATTTTCAGACAGTTTCGGCAAATAATTGTACCTTGTAATCCACACAGTTCGCAAATAGTAGCACCTTTGGTACCTTTTTCTAGAAAACTTCTCTCACGCGATATTTCGTTTTGAGGATCATTCTCTGAACTGGTCCCTGGAGTCTGGTCTTGTTGTGCTGAAGTCCGCCGTGATGGACCAGGTGATGAACCTTTTGGTTCCGTTTTGGCCACACTACGATCCTTAAGGTCAGCTGCACTGGATCCGCTTTTACTGGTAGCTTCTTTACTAGTTACATTATTTTCAAGTTGATAGAGTAACCTGGTTGGCTGTGCTCCCGTTAAGGTTCCAGCTCTAGATCCTGTGGCCTGTGCACCGGTCACACGTTCACTGCCGACCTGTTTAGATTCTTTGCCAGCGAAGCGAACATTAGACTCAATAGTTAACTGCTGCCTTAATGTGGCGTTTAAATCTGTAACTCCTGATTGCACTGTGGTTTTTCCATATGTCCCCTCTGCCATCCCGTTGTGTTGAGAAGTGGCATCATTCCGACTCACACGAGAATTTTCTCTTTGTTCCACCTCCACCTGTGCAGAGGAAGTAGTACCAGTTGGTCCGTATTTTGCATCTCTGTCGTCCTGCACTCTCGCACTTTCCTTTGTGGACATACGTTTATCCGATTCGCTCCATCCAAGCTTCTGACCAGAGTAGCTGCTGATGTCTTGAACGTTAGCATACCTGACATCCCGAGAAGCAGACCCATGCACGCGTGTCACCGTTCGTGAAGAACTCGTGGAATGATATCCATTAGTATCAGGTAAAACTTTACTTGGTGGAGGTACCGTACTGCTCTGGGTGACCACAGCATGTCCCCTTGGGTCATCTCTTAAAGAGCCAGCATATCGTTCACTGGAATATAAATACTGACTGGTGGGATGCAATGGTGTTACTGTCTCGTGATGTGATACCGAGTGAGAAGTTGTAATGGCTGAATCGATTCTCTCCTTAGTGCCGTCAGGGTAAGGTGGACGCCCAGAATGAGGCATTCTATGGTAATGCTGGCTTCGTTGAGTGTTGTCAGAGTGGTACGATGACCCAGTTTGAGGCACCGTCCTGTAACGTGGATCTTGGTGATGCTGTTTTGCCTCATGCAATGACCCAGGTTGAGGAAAAGTGCTGTAACGTTCATCTAAGTTACGCTGGTTTAACTCATTGGGTGATCTACCTTGGAAAACCGTGCTGTGACCTGCGTGATGATTTAGCTGTTTTGATGCATAGGATGACCCAGATTCAGGAAACGTTCTGTCACGAGCATCAACGTTATGCTGTGTCACGCCGTTCGTTTGGCTTCCTTCGGGACTTACACCGTATAAATCTTGGTCAGTTAATTCTGGACCGTTGATACTGAAATAATAGCCCTCGCCAGTGTTTCCGGATGGCACTTTGTACTCTGTAGGAGCGCCACCAGAAGGCTTCCTCTTGCTAACTGTAGACCCAGAAGAAGAATCATCCGTGTCAGCAGCAACATCGTCTCTCATCTTTGACAACACGGAACGATTTGGCTTTCTGTCTGTGGTTTGGTTAGCAGAGGCGTCTGCAACAGAAGGAGTGAAGTCAATTCGTTCACCGTGTGAATGTTTTGTGCCGTGCCGATGAGATAACACGTCATCTCCCCGTGGCTCTTCACGTTTCCGTCGTTTAGGAGCTTTTCCCTGCAGACGAGTAATAGCTTCCTCTACGTCGCGCGTTGCAGACCTTACCTTAACAATATCTTTCAAGGTAAATTCGTTCTCAGGGAAATGATCTATAATCTCCTTGATCACTTGTAAGTCCACCTGAACTAGGAAGAGCTCCATTGACATCCAAATCGCACGATCTCGGTCGGGTTCTATATTGGAAACTTCCTGCTGCCCTCTTACTGTGTAGCCAAGAGATTTTAAAATCTCAAAAATTGCCTCTGTGTCTTGAAGCTGCCGTTCGATGTTCCACTTAAAAAACGCCGTGTAAAGCTGTCAGAGAAGAAACAAAAAGTCCTTGTTTACAGAAGGCTGCGTAGAATAAATATAGAAACAGTTGTGTTTCGAATTTGTGATAAGCGATTAATACCTCTCTCTCTCTACCTAGGAAACTCTGATTTAAACCGTGAATGTCATCTAAGAGCGTCTTGCACACTTCGTAACGTATTTTCTTTGTTTGAAAGATGGCACGGGCTTGTGGCATGTACTGTATGTCTCACAGCAGTTACAAAGAACAATACATAAATTAGACCAGTCTATTGAGGAACTTTACATAGGGCCATTGCTAGCTGACCTTCGAAGTAAACTATAGTCATTTCTTACCACTCAAAAAAGATCTCGCTTTATAACTTACACGTTTACACTCAAGTTCAAGTTTTCTGAAGGCTTTTAAAATTAAAATATCTCGTACTTTCACAGATGCATCAAAGCTAAACAGAACACTGCATTCGCGGTGTATGCTGGACGTTTCTTAGCACGTTTATCAACGTCACGAACGATGGTGATTTTCTTCTCATGGTAGGGCTGTGCTCTAGAAGTGCCTGGGTGCCACAGGCGAATAACTTTTGCCTTTGGGCGACTGGAAAAAAAGTACTTTTCTCATATAAGCTAGAGTGCTGGGCACCCACGATTTCATGGTCACCTGTAGGAACCTTTGGGCTCCTCATAAATTTTCTTAGACCACGGCCTCGCAAGGCCTCATTGTTAGACACCTCGTTCGTTAATTACTTTTGGTTCACCTCTGTTTAAGCAGTTGGTGAACTACGGGGGATATCACTTTTGCCATTTTCCTGTTCATTTGGTTTTTCCATATATTGAACTCAAGATACTATTATGGTTAAATTCACCTTTGACTCAAAACCATAAAAAGACCGACATTTAAAACTCACAGTTTGCAAACTTCAGATACTGTAAATCCTCGGATTAGCACCCCGCCCCCCCTCGAATAAGCGCCCCTTCTATCGGCCAAAATTTAAAATAAGCGCCCCCCTCCCCTCCCCCCATTTTGTGGACGAGTAATGAGACAACAAAGGGTGTATAGTTTTCGTCATGTAGTATTAGATTTGTACATTGTTTCAGTTTGTGAACGTGTTGAACACGTTAAGTACCAACAGTGCCGCGATTTAAACTTAAGGATCAGCTTTTTATGTCAATAAACAGCTTATGTTGGTGTTTACGTGCAGATGATGTATTAAAAAAATGATCATGTCAGGCCACGATTTGGAAAAAATTAAATAAGCGCCCCCGTCTTATCTAAATGTGAAATAGCGGCCCCGGGCGCTAATTCGAAGATTTACGGTATTTGCCTAGGAGAAGTACTAGTAGTTTTACACGATGACAATGGGTTGTAATGTCCAGAGTACTTTTAATTTTATACTACTAGAAGAAACAAAATAAAAGTCGTGACCAAAGAGCACTGCTAATAAGTGACTTAAGATTTGAGTACAAGTACTACTAAACGAGTGTGACTTTCCAATTTTAGTTTTTTCAGGCTTCATATTATCACATCACATACCCATCTCATCCCATGAACTACCCTCTCTACCTAAAACAACATAAAGAGCCAGGGCTCTGGAAACGACACTGGTTTGAAATGTGAAAATCGTACTTGTACTCAATCTTAAACTCGTTGTCCAATTTAAAGGTGCCTTATTCCTACATAAGAACGACCAGAAATACTAAGAAGTATGAGTATTTTCTGACAAAACATACCTTTATAGTATGGTACTCTTTGCGCCACGGGAACCTCCACAAGTTAACACCATATTGCTCCAAGCTTTTAAATCCACTCTTTATCTTTAAGATGCTTTCTTGACTGCTTTTTTGATTTTCTGCAATTCGTTTCAGCAGATTTCCATAAACATCTAAATTTATAAATCTGTCTTTAGGCTGTGCTGAGGTAAGGAATTCCCGGGATTGCTTCACAAGTGACTCCTCTGGGATTTTATTATTATTGTTTGAGTGATAATCACAATATTGTTTCAGCAGTAAACTTCTTTCTTCATCCATGCTGTTTGGTCTCTGTTTAATGTCTTCTTCAGTCTAAAAGCAAAGTTACTCATTATTCAAGATTACATCATGTGTGAGAACTTCCATAATTATCTGAGCCAGCGTCAGTGAAGAAATGACCAGCAAAAGTATTATAAATGGAAAAGGGGATAAAAAATCAATACGTTGTGACAGCCATGTTGAACGTTTTAGGGTTGAACACTTGAATCCTGAAAGGATATAAACTTTTTGCTTTTTTTTAACTACCATAAAAAAAACTTCCTTTGTCCACCATGTCACTTTTGTCCACCATGTTTGTTAACGTAAATTAACAAACCAAAATATTTTTTCTGGTCTATGACTGGCCAAACATCGTACATTACAAAATTCCAATTTGAAACTTGAAAGATTCATAAAAAAGTAAATCTGGAAGCCATGTCCCCAGAAGCTACAATGAAATTTGCAGTTTCCTGCTCCAAAATATGGAATTGGCACTTTGTTGGCTTCAATCGATCAGATGCAGCAGAAAAAAATAACAGCTTTTATTTTGTGGCATGATAATCTTGAGATACATTTGTGCATTCTGATTGGTTCTTTCTTGGTCAGGATTTTGCCATACAAACTGTTTCCAAGGAAACAGTCATAAGGCATGTAATTTTTGGCTCTAGTGTCATAGCCTCTTCCAGGCATCCAGTTAGTTGTGGTGCAGTCTGCAAAACAGTGAGGGACAAAATATGAGAGAAGTGCAGCCAGAGAAAGCTTTCCCTTGCCACGCTTCTCCCCAACTAACTGAATACCTGGAAGAGGCTACCAATGTCATATAATAAACTACTTGCTAACCTAGCTTGCTTGAGCCGTACTGAGGAATATTGACCCTCAGTCATTTATTTAGGACCAAGTGCTGCAAAGTCTGTACTGCCACAACCTCGGGCCGATAAGCCCTGTTACGGCCCTTGAGGTTCGATTAGTAACAGGTTATTATTTCATTGTTGAACATAAATGCATATGAATTTGTTCTTCGCTTAGGTTAAAAAGAACTGGTTCAATTATATAAAATACCACTGCAGAATTAAATTGAATTCAACTGAATTGAATTGAGAGGAAGCTAATAAAGATTTTAAAAAAGATCTTAACAGGAATTGAAAAATTTCAAATTGATCAAATTCTGCAGCCAAGTAGAATTACCTGATGCTAGAATGTTATTTTTCAAGAGAAATTGGATTAAGATAAAAGAAACGATATGAAACTTTTCCTTTCAAAGGGAATGGAGGCCAATTGCAATTTACAGTTGAAGCCCACTAATTTGAAGAGAAAAAACAACTTAGAAAAAGTCATGATAAAAACTTTATTTTGACATCAAGCTGAACTTAACATTACTAAAAAGAACAAATTCATTTGTGTAATTTTCGGAAAGCACTGTACATTTCAACAGAAAATTTAAATTGGTGCAAAGAACAGAAAGGTGTTGTGAAGCATGCACTGGCAGGCGTTCTGAACATTCTGGAATTTACATAACACTCTACTTCCAAAATTCAGAGCAATGAAGCATGGTTTTCTGCTTTAGTGCCAACATGTGGAAAAAGTTTTGGACAAATCTTTCGACATAATCAAAACGAGCATTACTTCTCAAATTCCAAAGATTTGATTTAATTGCATCATTCCGAACCCTGAACCTTCACTTTCTTGCCTTTTTTAGAGAAATCTGTTCAAGCATAGCCAAAAGTTGGCTATGTTGACTTTACATTGCATGTACTCAGCCTCATTGCACAGCCAAAACAGCTCTTGCATTGATACTTTTGCATTATGGAAGCTGAAGTATTTCATTCAAAAGTTGGGAAGAAGTCAGTTATTGAAGCTTTAGTTTGTTTACAG